TTTTCATAACTAGTAATATTTTTTTATGAATCTTAAATTGGGATTTCACCTAGTTTTTTTTGGAAACTATTTCTATTTCAGGTTCTAATTATCACAATGAATAAGCGACTGGGTGGATAGATGGCTCATTACATTTAAACTACCAAATTATGACCAAAAATAATTTAATAGAATCCTCATGTCTATTTGCTGCTAGCTATTTCAAAGAGGTTAAAGAATCATTTAAATAAAGGTTATTGAGTCCTGAGTCCACTTTGATATCCCAATTTGATGCTGATGCTAAAAGATTTTTTTTTTGTCAAACCAGACCCAAAGCATAACTTCACATAGTGCTCAGCACTCATCATTTTAGGGAAGAAAGTGCTTCTTGTAAGAGTTGTCCTAAAATACAACTTGTTTCTCGTAATTTTAGGATTTTATTTTCCTAATTTTAAGACTTTATTCTCGTAATCTTGCGAATTTATTCTCATAATTTTGCGACTTTATTCTCTTACTGTTATGACTTTGTTCTCGTAATGTTACAACATTATTCTCGCAATGTTACGACTTTATTCTCGTAATTTTCGACTTTATTCTCGTAATTTTTCGACTTTATTCTCGTTATTTTACGACTGTTCTCGTCATTTTGTGACTATTCTCATCACGACTTTTCCTCTCATAAGTTTACAACTTTATTCTCGTGATGTTATGAATTTAGCCTCGTAATTTTATGACTATTCTCGTTGCGACTTTATTCTCGTAATGTTGGGAATTTATTCTCGTAATGTTGTGACTTTATTTTCGTAATGTTAGAACTTTATTCTCGTAATGTTACAACTCTATTCTCGTAATTTTTCGACTTTATTCTAGTAATTTTATCACTATTCTCGTCATTTTATGACTGTTCTCATAATTTTACTACTTTATTCTAGTAATTTTTTGACTTTATTCTCGTAATTTTATGACTATTCTCATGTGGGAATTTATCTCATAATGTTACGACTTTATTCTCGTAATTTTATGACTGTTCTCATAATTTTACTACTTTATTCTAGTAATTTTTTGACTTTATTCTCGTAATTTTATGACTATTCTCATTGGGACTTTATTCCATAATGTTACGACTTTATTCTCGTAATTTTATGACTGTTCTCATAATTTTACTACTTTATTCTCATAATTTTTTGACTTTATTCTCGTAATTTAATGACTGTTCTCATTGGGACTTTATCTCATAATGTTACGACTTTATTCTCATAATGTTACGACTTTATTCTCATAATTTTATGACTTTATTCTCGTAATTTTAAGACTGTTCTCATAATTTTACTACTTTATTCTAGTAATTTTTTGACTTTATTCTCGTAATTTTATGACTGTTCTCATTGGGACTTTATCTCATAATGTTATGAGTTTATTCTCATAATGTTACGACTTTATTCTCATAATGTTACGACTTTATTCTCGTAATTTTATGACTGTTCTCATAATTTTACTACTTTATTCTCATAATTTTTTGACTTTATTCTCGTCATTTTATGACAATTCTCATTGGGACTTTATCTCATAACGTTACGACTTTATTCTTGTAATTTTATGACTGTTCTCATAATTTCACTACTTTATTCTAGTAATTTTTTTACTTTATTCTCGTAATTTTATGACTGTTCTCATAATTTTACTACTTTATTCTAGTAATTTTTTGACTTTATTCTTGTAATTTTATGACTGTTCTCATAATTTTACTACTTTATTCTCATAATTTTTTGACTTTATTCTCGTCATTTTATGACAATTCTCATTGGGACTTTATCTCATAACGTTACGACTTTATTCTCGTAATTTTATGACTGTTCTCATAATTTTACTACTTTATTCTAGTAATTTTTTGACTTTATTCTCGTAATTTTATAACTGTTCTCATAATTTTACTACTTTATTCTCATAATTTTTTGACTTTATCCTCGTCATTTTATGACAATTCTCATTGGGACTTTATCTCATAACATTGCGACTTTATTCTCGTAATTTTATGACTGTTCTCATAATTTTACTACTTTATTCTAGTAATTCACACGTGGAGAATATGAAAAGTCCAGGCCAGGATTTGAAACCAGAATCTTCTTGCTGCAAGGCAGCTGTGCTACCCACTGCTCCACTGAGCAGACTACAATTCCCCGACATAAACGATAAGACAATGACACCTCTAACCAATCTGAAATTATTATTCTATGTTTAACCATATACATGAAATAATAATTTGAAAAAATAATAAATTGAAATTATTACAGGCCTTGTTACAGGCGTCATCTCTGGAGCTGCAGAAGTATTGACACTCCTCCCCAGAGGGATGGGTTAAATGCAGAGAGTTAATTTTGTTGCTTTGTACTTGTGATAGTGTTTCACAGGAACGCGGAAAAATAGGACCTGAACAAAAACTTTACAATGATTGCCATTAATCACAGCCTGAGCAGACCAAACACCTGAAAGAGGCCGCATTTATTGGACAGATTGTAAAGCAAAACTGTACTTCTTTTATGATAAATTGAATAGAATTTAAAAAGCTGAGGCGACTAAAACGTCTCTAGAAAAACAATCTTGACTAGGGCTGGGTAAAAAAATCGATTTAATCGATTTCGAATCGATTCCTTTACATTTTTGAAAAATCGATGTCTAGGAAATTAGATCGATTCGATTTTTTAGTGACGTGCGGGACGTTCACATTCAAATGAGCAGGAAAGATGCACACAAGATTACTTCACGCCAGACAGCTGCAAATATAGCCAATAGGTTGACTGAAGACATTAACAAATGGGGCTGACCAGCAATGACCCTATAGTTGTTACAGACAATGCTGCACATATGGTTTGTGCAGTGGAGATAATGCAGCTCATGCACGTCTGCTTGCTCGAGTGAGGTTTCACTTTTCTCAAACAAGTTTGCACTTTTGAGACAGCTTTGTTCACATCTTATGTTTAAAGTGTCCGATTTACAAGTTTGGAGATTTTACTATGACAGGAAATAAATAGAATACACGAGTATTCTGAAACACAGCTGAACCACTTTCATTATTGTAAAAACAGATTGAATCGAAATTAATCGATTTAGAACTCTATGAATCAAAATCGAATCGATTCATGACTTTGGCGTAAATACCCAGCCCTATTCTTGACCTTATTTATCTTCTACAGTCATGGCCAAAAGTATTGAGAATGACACAAATATATTTTCACATGATCTTCTGCCCTCTGGTTTTCATGTGTATGTCAGATGTTGTCATCACATACAGAAATACAATTGCAATCATATTATGAGTAATAAAAGCTTTTAATGACAGTTAGAATGAGTCAATATTTGCAGTGTTGACCCCTCTTCTTCAGGACCTCTGCAATTCTTCTTGGCATGCTCTCAATCAACTTCTGGACCAAATCCTGACTGATAGCAGTCCATTCTTGCACAATCAATGCTTGCATTTTGTCAGAATTCCTAGGTTTTCGTTTGTCCACCGTCTCTTGATGATTGACCACAAGTTTTTAATGGGATTAAGATCAGGGGAGTTTCCAGACCCACAATCTCTCTGTTTTGTTCCCTGAGCCAGTTAGACATCACCTTTGCTTTATGGCAAGGTGCTCCATCGTGCTGGAAAAGGCATTGTTCATCACCAAACTGCTCTTGGACGGTTGGGAGAAGTTGCTCTCGGAGGACATTCTGGTTCCTTTCTTTATTCATGGCTGTGTTTTTAGGTCAGACTGTGAGAGAGCCGACTCCCTTGGCTGAGAAGCAACCCCACTCATGAATGGTTTCAGGATGCTTTACAGTTGGCATGAGACCAGACTGGTGGTAGCGCTCACCTCGTCTTCTCCCAACAAGCTGTTTTCCAGATGTCCCAAACAGTCGGAAAGGGGATTGATCAGAGAAAATGACTTTACCCCAGTCCTCAGCAGTCCACTCCCTGTACCTTTTGCAGAATATCAGTCTGTCCCTGATGTTTTTCCTGGAGAGAAGTGGCTTCTTTTCTGCCCTCCTTGAGACCTGGCCTTGCCCGGAGCTGAAACACTTTTAAGAGACGGTCCTGCCGCTTGCTGGTCTTTCTTTGGGGCTCTGGAGCCTTTTTGGCAACAATGGAACCTCTCTCCTTGAAGTTCTTGATGATGCCATAGGTTGTTGACTGAGGTGCAATCTTTCTAGCTGCCATTCTCTTTCCTGTTAGGCCATTTTTGTGCTGTGCAATGATGACTGAACATGTTTCTTTAGAGATAACCATGGTTCACAGCAGAGAAACAATGATGCCAAGCACCAGCCTCTTTTTAAAGTGTCCAGTGGCGTCATTCTGACTGAATCCTGACAGATTGATCTCCAGCCCTGTCCTCATCACCACCCACACCTGTGTTAATGGAGCAATCGCTGAAACAATGTCAGCTGGTCCTTTTAAGGCAGGACTGCAATGACGTTGAAATGTGTTTTGGGGGATAAAGTTAATTTTCTAGGCAAATATTGACTTTGCAATTAATTGCTGTTACGTTGATAACTCTTTATAACATTCTGGAGTATATGCAAATTGCTGTTATAAAAACTGAAGCAGTAGACTTTGTAAATATTAACATTTGAATCATTCTATAAACTTTTGGCCATGACTGTATGTATAGAAATAGAGGAGCATCATAATCATTGTTTTCTCTGAGTAGGTAGGTACTGTTTTATGAGCATTTAGAGTTTATTTCAGTGAGAGCTGGTTTGATAAACTCAACTTTTGGTGCATCAAAGTTGGGATAAACAAAAAAAAGTTTTTGTTTTAGATCATAAGTTGAAAAGTTTATAGATTTGTTCTTTATTTTCTCCCAGATCGTCCTGCGATGACTGTGTGTAGAGCCTTTGAAACCACCAAGTTCTTCACGCTTCCGGCTGCTCGCTCCTGCTGTCACTTTTCTATTTTCTGCCCTGTGTTTCTGCAGCTGCTGCTTGTCACTTACTGATGAAGGTTGGTGGGTAAAGCGGCCTGTGCTCCACTCAGCCAGTTGGCCATGGAGCTCCACCGGGTTGCGCTGCTCACGGTCTCCCTGCTCACACTAGTCGCACACGGTGAGTTTATGGGAACATTTTAGGTTTGATCTAAATGAGTTTGACTCCTCTGCTTGACTCTGAATAGTTTTCGGTTTCAAAGTTAGTTATTTCTATTGCTGCTTGGTAATGTCTTTGTTTCCACTTGGAGATGGGGGAAAATATCTTTACATTTCCTTTTAAATATATTCTTGTGTAAGGAAAAAAAAACCTTTAAACTTTACATAATTTAACAACATGCTGCTCTTTGTAGGTCTAACCTTTGTACGACTGATTCATACAATCTCTTTGACTTAAGATTTTATTGTTTTACTTTTATTTCACAGAAAGAAAAAGTGCAATTTAGTATTTCACATAATCCAGAATTAGGCCAAACTAAGATAAGATCCAGTCATTTTGTTTATTGTAAGTTTGTGACCTGAAGATAAAAGGATCTAAACAAGAGATTCTCTGGAGGAACTAAAGCTTTAGGCTGGAAGAAGCCTGTCGGTTCTGTGTGGACAGCTGATCAGGAGCAGGAATCTGATCCACAGAACAGCTGCTGTACAGGAAAGCTGAGCAGCGGCGGCTCATGCAGACACATCCAGCCCCTGTTTGTTTTTCTCCTGTCAGTGTTTGAGAGAACGTTGGTTTACTGTGTTTTTATTGTATTTTTTTATTTAGGAAAACCATTAGTGAGAGGACTGATGTCCAGATCAAATGGACCAGAACCCCCTAGATTCTAGGGGTCAGCAACCCAAACTGTTCAAAGAGCCATATAGGACCAAACAAAAACAATCCGTCTGGAGCTGCAAAAATGTAAAAGTGTATTAGCCCACTGTAAAAAAAAAAAAAAGGGACTGCGTTGGTTTAAATATATAATAAGCATTAATGAATAAATGTTTATCCTGGAACAAATGTCACATAATGTGACTGCTCTGCTGTACGATATTTGGTGCTTTAAGTTTAAATTCCTTTAAAATATAAATGTGTTAGGTTTTGTTGTATTGATGAAATTATAGAAAACAAAGAAATCAGATTTATGGTGTTATTTTATTTTGAGGATTTGGGGGAAAAAATGGAAGAAAGTTCCCATCCCTGCATCAGAGCTCTACCTGTTTGATCTGTGGACGGTTTTCCATGCCTGCCCAAGACTAGCAGCAGTAGTGGAGTCTGGAGATGTAATCCACCTTTTAAATCTATCTTTGATGTGTTTTAATTTATCCAGAAGAAGCCTACCGCAATCACACTTTTTCTCTCACTCCTAACTTAGTGGTTGGCTGCATATTTAGCATGTCTTCCCTGGAAATACCTTTCTAAATGACTCTTTTTATTATTTGAAAACTTCTCCTTACAAAGCATGTTGGTAATAAAAGAAATGGTTCGGTTCATTCTTCTTAGAATCCTCTGTTCTCATTGGCTATCTTCCTTTTTTCCCATAGCCAGAGTCCCACCCAACAGCCACCTGCCTGGCACCTCGCCGCACTGAAACATTTATCGTAGGCTATGGCACAAACCTTTGTTGACATAAATTTTTACATGTATTGTTTAAATTTATTGATTATACAAATTTACACAACAATGGAAAACATAAATGTCCTGTGATGGACTGGCGACCTGTCCAGGGTGTACCCCGCCTCTCGCCTGTACAGCTGGAGTTAGGCGCCAGCACCCCTCGTGACCCCACTTGGGATAAGCATGACGGTAAATGGATGGATTGGAAAACATTATGAATGTTTGTTTGACCTCCTGCACAACATATTTAACATCCAAAAAGAAATCCGTCTTTTTCCATTTTTGAAAAAGCTCCAGGGAGCCGCAAGGGTGGCAATAAAGAATCGCACTCGGCTCTGTAGCTGCAGGTTGCCGACCCCTGTTCTAGACCAAAGGTCCGCTACCTTTTTACTCCAAAGTCCAGCTAAATAAAACCTGCTTAGATCAGCAAATGAACTATTGAAAAAAAAGACCAAACAGGAAATCTGTTTTTGGTTTATAGAAAACCCATTAATTTGTGGGTGTTAAACAATCCATAGAATATTTAACGACCTGGTGAAGGGATTGCACAACTTCCTACTAAACACAATGAATTTCAAAAATGTTTTTCTACATGTGTTTAAAAAAATAGCCTTTTATTGATACACTGCGGGACTAGAGTTAAATTTGGGGGAATAATAATGTTGTGTTTTAGGATTGTTTAGGCATGTCTAAAGGTGCCTCATGTCACACGGCTGCTCTCAGCATAGGCCCCGCCCCCTGCTGGCCAGCAGTATGAAATTAAAGCAAGGTCATGAAACTATCTAGCAACTTATTATCAAAACAGCAGCTAGCAACAACTTAGGCAAATTTAGTTGGAGACCTTGGTGAAAACGCATAGAGCACAGATCGCTCTGAGTTTATGGTCTGCAGTGAATAGAGTTTAATTAAGTGTATTTATATGGTGCCAAGTCACAAAACCTGTCATCGCAAGGCACTTTAATTTTTCAGCTGGTTTTCCATCTAAGGAAAACCAGCTGATTGCATCGACTGGACAGCAATCCCTCATGCCAAGCATGCTTGTAGTGACAATGGAGAGGAAAAAACTCTTTTTAACAGGAACAAACCTCCAGCAGAACCATATGCAGAGGCTGACTGGGGTTCAAGGAGAAAGAAGCAGACATACAGAAGGAACTGCTCAACCAGCTTCACAGGCGGCCCCGTCCAGGAAACACACAGCCAGGCAGACGAGCTCCGAGCCGCCTCCCATGTCAGAGGATGAAAAAAAGCACATACAGTTAGTCATGGTGTTGAAAAACGGATTTTTTTTAAGACTATTTTGAATGGCCTTTATTTTTGAAAGCAGGTATATGGGATATAGTAGTAGAGGGAGGTGGAAGAGACTCGGCATTAGGCCGGGCCTCAAACCCGTGACGGCTTTATGGTCCATAACAGCAGCAATTTTTCACTGTGATGGTGACAAGAAAGTACAAGGTGTTTTGGTTTTATGGTGATACTTCTCTGGATGTAATTCTTTTATAGTTCATATTGAATTAATACTGTTCATTTAAACTGCAGCATTGTAGCATTCTGAGCTGATGCGTGCTCTACATCTGCTCCTGATGGGAATTAACTGATCTGTATTGGTTCTGTGGTGCTAGAATGTGTTCAACACAATGCAGACATGGAAAGGCATCATCAGAGAAATAAAAAGGCTGACCATCGATCTGGAAATGCATACAAGGCCTTATCTAAACAAACTGAAGTCCTTCACTTTACGAAAAAATATTTTTTTTTATATATGATGGACCCTCCATGGATGAAGAGCTGCTTACTTTTATGTTAGAGTCTGACAGCTGGGTCAGAAACAGAGCTTTGATCCAAAACGCAGCAAGGAAAAACTTGTTTAATAACCTAATCAAAGCCCAGGCCTTAGCTGGATTAAAATATTTTCCAAAAAACATCTGAAGCATCAAATATTATGGTCAACAAGAGAGCTGATCCTCTGAAGGCTTTTTTTTTCTTTGTACACACTTCAGTTCAGGCCTTCTCAAAACTGTTGGACGCTCAAGTTAGATTTTAATACATCTGCGACCCGTTAAAGACCAGGTCATGTTTATTATATCCTGATACTAACACCTTATGAAGTGAATGAGGGGAACCTTCTTACAGTGATGATGTAAGCTTCAGCTCCGCCTAGATGTTCTCAGTGTATCAAATTACCATTAAGCTTTGGCCTTAGTGCTCCTCATATAATGACCTTCCAGCTCAGTAAATGACTTAAAGCGAACATCTCGAATCTGACAGCTGGTTCTGTCTGTTTATCAGAGTGTTTGTGCAGGAACGAGGAGGAGCGTCTGATCAACTACCTGTTCAAAGAGAAAAAATACAACAAGGAGTTAAGGCCCGTCCAGAAGCAGCAGGATGTCGTTGACGTTTATCTGGCCCTCACGCTCTCCAACCTCATCTCCCTGGTAAAAAAAAAAACATTTAAAAAAAAAACCCTGCATGTTTATGTGTTTTTTTTATTGTGACTGCCTCAGTGTGGAGGAGAAGGCTTTTTAATAGGATATGTGGAAGAGGCTGTTTAGGCTCCATTCAGTGAGTACCAATGAAGGGACACTTTGTGAACACGATTATTCCTCTTGAAGGAAAAAATCATGCAGGCTTTCCATGGAGTGAGTACCAAATTTGGAACAAAAGGGTACGAGATTATCAGTGATGAAAAAGATTATCAAGCCACAGAAGGAATAATTTGGTCAGAGAAACTGAAAGTGATCCAGCAGGTTGGTCCAGTTTGCTGAAAGGTTATTGAACAACTCAAAGCTCTGTGACACATCTGCTGGTATACATAACTGACATCAGTGCATGCTCCTTATGAGATAGCAGATATTGTCATGATGTAATCCTTAGATCAGAGGTCACAGGTTAGTCGGTCCGGATCCTGCCCCACTTGCTGGCTAATCCGGACCCAGCCTGATTTGAAACATTTATAAATTACTGCAGGTTGTCCGACTTCCGTGTCTAAGTTCACTTGAGCTGCTTCTCCTGTTAATATGGTGAAATGGTGCTCAAAGATGATCCTGCACATTTAGAGGATGTTTGGCTCAACCTGCTGCTGTGAAGCAGGATTCTCCACCATGAACAGAATCAAAAATAAACATGGATGCAGGATCAAAATGAGCTCCTTGATATGTGCTTTAGAATGACTTAGTCTCCATTCAAACCAGGTTTAAAGCCTTCCAGGGCAGCATAAAGCCCACTGCCAACATTAAGACAGAAAAAAAAAACAGTTCAGGTGTTTTATAAAATATGTGAATCAGGAAATTGTCTATAAACCATACTGAACAATTGTTGTTCTCTACTTAAAATGGAAACATTTTCTTTTTTTTTGTGTATTTTTTATTATTTAAAAATTCAATGTATAACATAGATGCATAAACACCTCATTTTGTTTCAGTGTTAAATTCTATTTAAAGTAACAGATTATAATTAAAAATGTCTCCGGACCTTTACTGGTTGATGATTTTCTTTATTCGGACCCCGCTGATTTTTTATTGGTTACCCCTGTTTTAGATAAATGAAAACTAAAAACTAAACTAGATTTCAGTGTAAGAAAATTGGTCTATAATTATTGAACTCTGTAAGATCATCATCTTTAAAAACCATTTAAGTCTTAATTATTGCTCTAAGTTCAGTTGGTACACAGCTTTCAGCCAGAGAGCTGTTACAAATATGTACCATAGGGCCAAAGATTTACAGAAGAATATTTTACTGAGAAACACCAGTTGAGCTCCATGGTGTGGCCAGAGTAGAGTACTGCAGTGCCAACATTTATGAAATCAGGACAGAAGGTCAAAATAGAAGTTGGTTTTACAGGGGATTTAATTAGTAAATTATTAAATCTAATGATTTTAGGATTAGGTTGGTCAATGTTGGGGTTAACTCTCAGTGGAGTAATAAACCGAAAGGATAACATTAGATGTAGGAGTCCACAGGCCAGAGTTTAGGTTTCCTCTAAACTTCCGGTGTAAACTTTGATTTATTTATTTATTGACAAAACTTTATCTGCAGAAGTTTAAATGATGAAGTGAACAAAGAAAAGTGTATAAGCATCTCTACAAAGAGCAGTCGGGTGGCATTTATGTCAAAAAGCTTTGAATTACTGCCTTTATCCTGGAATCTCCTCCTTACTCCTGGGACGGCTGGGAGACGTAGCTGCACAACCTTAGATGCTTAGATTTCTTCCTATTAAACGTCATCCATACACATATCAACTAACAGATTCCTCTATCACTCCTTGAAAAAGAAGCCGTCCCCATAGCATCATGCGTCCACCGCTGTGTTTCACTGTGGGGATGATGTGTGCAGTTTGTCTCGTCTATGTATCACATGAAGCGGTAAAACTAAGCAGTTTATAGTTTTGTCTGTTTCGCATACCTCCTGTAATCTCTATTTCCTTCTCGGCCATCTGTAGAAAGAAGTTGATGAGACGCTGTTGACAAACGTGTGGATCGATCATGTACGTCAAAACAACTTTCTTCCTTTTGTCAGGCATAAAAAGCCTTTATCTGTGTATGTGAACCGTCTCTGTACTGCTGTGACACAGACATGGACCGACTACAGGCTGTCCTGGAACGCCTCGGAGTTCGACGGCATTGAGATGCTTCGCCTGCCGCCCAGCATGGTCTGGCTACCAGAGATCGTTCTGGAAAACAAGTAAAATGATTAATTCATTCAGTTTCATGTTATAGTTTTTTCCTTTTTCCCAAACACAAAACAATAAGGAAAACAGAAAAAAGACCAAAAATATTCCTTCTTTTTATCTCATTTTATGCTTTGTATAAAATATATAATTTTATTGAAATTATTTGCATGGAAAACATCTTTTCTACTCATGTTGCACTAAAACTTATGCAATTACATGCTGGTTTAAAGGTAACAATAGATGTAAGGAAGAAACTCCTTTTTATAGCTTTTTGAAATTATCGTTCAGAAATACTTAAGATTAACTATAAACTACGACCAATGCTGTTTGGTTAATCATCCTGATGTTTATCAGACTGCTGTGTAAAAACATTCTTAAAAGAAGGATTCGCTCAGTCTATCACCTATAAATATTTTCCTTTGATTACTGAAAAAATGGTCATTGTCTGATATTGTTGAGGCCTCAGTTTAAGCTTGGAGACACAGTTTGCAGCAAGATTGATAAAAAAGTGAAGATATGAACTTTGAATATACTTTGTGACGACATTTTGGTTAAAATTTGATATTTTTTTTCATTCCAACTAAGTCACAGGCTTTCTCACGGCCAGACAGCCAGATTGATAAAATATAGCACTCAGGTTGAGGTTCTGCACATAGTTAATCTGGGCCTGCTCTAATCTAATCTGTTCAAACTCCAACACGCAAAGTATAAACATTAACCTGCTAAATGTGAAAATAAGAAAAGTGTTTTTAATTAAAACTGATTCTTCTCTTCCATCATTTTTATCCACTAAGAGACTCCCTAAATATTAAAGCTACAGTGTGTAATAATTACAGGGATATACAGTCAGAAATGTAATATATTATACATAACTATGTTATTTATCATCATCTACGAGCTCAGCCTCTTAACCTTAATATTTGCGTTGCCTTAGAATTCGTTATTTATAATTACATAGGAGCGGGTCTCGCAGCCATGGAGGCAGACATCTTTGCGCTACGGCAGCGCAGAGCCAACAAACTAGCGATTGCGAGATCGCCCATTACGCTCGAAAGTAACTACGGCAAGTTGTTTAAGTCTACATTAAATCTATACCCTGCACAGACTATTGAAATACTTTCTGTAAAATGATCTAAGTAAACAAACCTCATCACTTGAGAAGGTAGGTGATGCGGACGTCGTGGAAGACATTTTGTCCCATAACGCTCGCTGTACAGTTGGGGGGGAGAAGCGGTGGGGGGGAGATGTTCATGTTGCTGCGGTCTGCAGTCTGGACGTTAGATGTCGCTGAAAATTACACACTGTAGCTTTAATCTGACAGGGTGTGAGTGCAGAAGTTGTAAAAAAAAAAAAAGAAGGGGGAATGGTGGAACCTTTGATTTTTTTTAAGCATACATAGCCTTATTTATATAGTCTATTAATCTAAAGCAACATGCATGGTCATTGACCTTGACCAAGGCACCTTTCAGTAGAACTACAGTCAGTCCCTGGACTGGCTTGGCTATCACTGCCTCTACAGAGTTAGCATGGCTATCACTGCCTCTACAGAGTTAGAGACTAATTTCCCACTGGGATCAGCTTCATGGTCATGGTAGGACACTTCTTTGATTTTACTTTGGAAAATCTTTTGGCAAGTAATCTATTAAGATTTGGAACAAAACCTCATAAAACATTCCAAATGAATATCTGAATTCTTTCAAGTCAAGGAATTTTTTTTTATTCAAATTCAATTAATTAAATTGAAACAGTTAAAATAATTTTTAAAATCTGAAAAAAAAATGCTTACAAATTCATATACATTCATATTAGCCTAGAAATGAAATAAGCCTATATAAAATGTATTAAAGTATTTATTTTAGACTGATTATCAGAATATCAGAATTGCTTCTATTGGCTAATTTAATGGAAGCTAGGCTACATGCTGGCAATGAACGAGTTAAATCTATTTAACAGATCCGCCGAACTGAAGCCATTAACCATTGATCGGACGACAGGCATTCTGCAAGTCACATGAGGGACCTTCCAGTCGGACGTCAACATTCAATTCATTTATCACCATTGGCCAGACATTTACATCACATTTGGCAGTTCTTTAAAGATAATAATCTTAGCACGTGTCTTAAATGGCTTAATTAAAATGCATTTTTCAAACCTTCGATTCTGTTCTGCAGGTTTCCTCCACTGCTCTCAGCCACAGCTCCACTTGTCTCTCCAGCATCTTCTAGATTCTGGCTGTCATCCAGCAAAACAGAACTAGTCTACAGATTCATTTTATGTTGAAATCACAACAAAATGCAGATTTTGGATGTTTAGCAATTCCTGTACTCTCCAGACTAATTCTCGTGTGTCATGACAACTTTAAAGACAGAAAAATGTTTGCGCTTCAAACTACTTTACCTAGTCTTGCATGCTATTGCGATGTCCAGAGATTAGGACTTCTACATATTAGGTGACACAATGGTAAGCTTAGAAAAGGTCATGTCTTCTGACTCTTGACTTACCTGACGCGTTAGTTTTTGCCTTCTTATAAATAAAGTCCCTAAAATCACGTTGTCTTTGCTGCTTGGCCGTGATGCTGTTCAGAGCACCGTCAGCTGCTCCGCTGGTTGCACCACTGAGGATGAAAATTAAATTGCATGTGCCCTCTGGGCCACCGTAATTTGGCCAGGTTTCTCGTAAGCACACAACCTGCCAAATGTTGAAAGGGCAATATTATTACTATTACTGCAAATATATAATAGACATTTACACATTCAGTGATAAAATGTCACAGGGAATGGTATGAGGGGGATGCCATCCCCCCTCAACACAAGTACTGAGTGTGTGAATGATATTCCACGGTGACTCACAGAGCATTTTCTAATCCTCTTCTTCTTCAGTAATGATGCCCAGTTCCAGGTGGCCTACTACAGTAACGTCCTGGTGGATTCTTCTGGTCTCTGTTACTGGTTACCTCCTGCCATCTTCCGATCCTCCTGCTCCATCAATGTCAACTACTTCCCCTTCGACTGGCAGAACTGCACGCTCAAATTCACGTAAGAAGCTCCCTATTGCCCTGTGTATCTGAACACAGTAGTTTGATGCAAAACCTAAAGCGCGAGAAATAAAAGCTCAGATCCTGATGAACTGAAACAGATTCTTGTCTTTTAGCTCTCTGACGTACAACGCCAGAGAGATTAAAATGCTGCTGAAACAAGATGGGAATGAAACGCATTCACATACGGTGGAGTGGATCATCATTGACCCTGAGAGTTTTACAGGTAACATCTGTCTTTAAATATCCTGTTTATCCTTTAAACCACAGGTCACGCAATAGCGGACCACGGTCCAGATCCGGATCCACCTGCTGGGTTGCTTCTTGTTTTTTTATATTTTTATTGTTAAGTTCAGTTCTCTTGGTCCATTTATTTCAACACTTCAAGTCAGGCTTTAAGTTAGTTATCCTCTTTGAAGGTTAATGATCGATCCCGAAGTAATGCAAAAACAGATGAATTCAGTCGTTACCTTAAATCTAATTTATTACAGTCAGTAAATTTTAAAAACCTTTAGTTTATCATACAGGATACATTTTTCTGCAACAAAACAAAAGGAATAAATAAAGACCTAATGATCTGAATTTTGCTCTCTGATGTCTGCAGAGAACGGTGAGTGGGAGATCATCCACCGGCCAGCCAAGAAAAACACCTACAAGCACATTCCCATGGAGAGCAACAAGCACCAGGACATCACCTTCTACCTGGTCATTAAACGGAAACCTCTCTTCTACATCGTTAACATCATCATCCCCTGCGTGCTCATCTCCTTTCTGGCCTGCCTGGTCTACTACCTGCCTGCAGACAGTCAGTAACTGCTCACCTCTTCTCTCCTCTAGAGGAACGTTAAATATGAGATGTTTGGAGATTTTGCTGAAGCTGTGTAGGGTCAAAGGGAACCTGTTCCTCTATGATGATTTAGAAAAGTTTCTTATTTACTAAATTCACTATTTTAAGTTATTCAACTTGGACTTTGAGTCCCACTGTCCACCGTTCTGGGAAACAAACTGGATTTTTGTGTTTAGGTGGTGAGAAGATGACACTGTCCATATCAGTTCTCCTGGCTCAGTCTGTCTTCCTGCTTCTGATCTCCCAGAGGTTGCCAGAGACGTCCATGTCTGTCCCTCTGATAGTCAAGTAGGATTTTCCAATATCTACAGACACATACACCTACATCACACTTCCTTAATGTTTTTTGACAGGAGTTCTTTGGATTTCAGTCTACAATCTTATTCATTTAAGCCGGGCTTGCATGCAGCTACAGCTCACACTGTACGACGAAACCACAGAGTTCTGTCGTACAGTGTAAGTTCAGAGCTTACAATGTATGTTCTCACACTATGTGGCCCGACGCTCTGATGCGATCTACCTGCTCACATGGTACGTCTAAAAACCATCTCGGACTCAGCCCTGCGGAGAGATGGAGTTATTCGGACTCGTCTATCCAGAAGCCAAACGAGTAGAAGAGGAAAAATATGGTCATCAAATGGTCACTAATTTCATTAAAGCCATACCAATGAATGTCCTGCAATTTTATTGTAAAGTTTTCCAATCCTAAAGCCTACTTTTTTTTTTGTTTTTTATTTTGTTTTTATGGCGCTACAGCAGTGGCTCGTTTTTCGACAGTAGGCTGACAGGAAAGGGGGTATGAGAGAGAGACATGCGGCAAAGGACCACAGGTCGGATTCGAACCCGGGTCAGCCGCTTCGAGGACTAAGGCCTCCGTACATGGGTCGAGCATGCCATGGGAAGCAGAAGAAGAATCCTTGTTTGCGCACTGTGCGATTTTGTCGACAACGGCCAACTGAAAATCAAACATGATTGATTTTCTCCCGACCTCATGATTCCTGATCAGGAGGTGGTCGTGAGAGGCTGATCGCCCCTCGTTACCCCCTGTACACTACAGGACGCACAGTCAAGCTGATAATTTAATCATTCTCAGGATCAACCCGAAAAGGACAAAAACTCGTACAGAGTATGCCTAACTTTAGAGGACAAATTGTTTTTTTTGTCTTAGCAAACACTGAACTGGATCTTCGTACTATTTCTTTATAGCAACCTGTCAGAGTAAATTCTCTTTTCTTTGGTTGAATCAGTTAAAATACAATAGTATGACCAACAAAGGCTTGGAGATTTTTTCTCTTACACTGATTCCTAAATGAGCGACTGTTGAAATTTTGGCATGCAGTAAATAATTAACTGAAGGTCGATGCATTTCTTGATGTCGGGTCTTTGAAGTTTGACTGTTTCTGGATGTGTTGTTCCATGTAATTTGTTTAAAGGATCAGCATGTAGAAACCAACTGTGTTTCTCCTGTATTTCAGTCTTTATTTCCAGAAATCCATGAGTTTAGTATGTCTTTTCTATTCTTTCCTCAGATATTTGATGTTCATCATGGTGCTTGTTACAATCGTCGTGCTGACTTGTGTTGTCGTGCTCAACCTGCACTTCAGGACCCCCAGTACACATGTTATGTCTGAATGGACCAAGAAGGTAAGGAACACAAAAAAGAAAATAATCTTGATACCTTCAGTACGGAAGCCAAGAGCGGCCGTATCCCTCCAAACTTTTTCACTGTGGTTTTATTAAGAAAAGTAGTTGATTTTCTTATTATCTAAAGATAACGAGAATTACAAGAAGAAATGGCAGCAATACAGCTAAAAGCAGGAAAAACATTGTATCAAATTTTGGAGCAGCGGGCTCATTCTGCATTTTTGATACGAACACCTGAGTTTGAATGCCATGACTTTATTTAACTCTTTGTCCAGTTTTTCCTCGAACGGTTGCCCCGGATCCTCCACATGTCCCATCCTACTGACGACGAACCGGTGTGGGAAGGAGCGTTGCCCCGACGATCTAGCTCGGTGGGATACATCGCTGCGGCAGAGGAATATTACAGCATCAAGTCCCGCAGTGAGCTAATGTTTGAGCGTCAGTCTGAAAGACACGGGCTGTCCAAAAGGCCCACGCACGCCTCAGGTAGGACTGGATCAGATCAGACCCGGTGCACACTTTATTCTGGCTCACTGTAAAAATGGGCATCTGGTGCCTCTGCATGAAGAAAGTAAAGTTTCTAGAACCTGATCTGGTTTTTTTGTTTAGTACTGAAGCCTCAGGAGAGCGACGGTGAGATGGATCAGCTGTGTGGAGAGATCAAGCCGGCTGTGGACGGAGCAAACTACATCGTCAAACACATGCGCGACAAGAACGACTACAACGAGGTGAGAAGTACCCTTATGTCTGAAGTTTTCCTTCAAACCAAAAAGGTCAGAGCAAGTGAGGGGCCAGAATTAGAACATAGAGTTGTGTTGATTGATTGACTTTATTGATCTTACGATAGAGAAATTTACTTGTTACATCAACTCAAATACTCAAAAAGAGAATAAGGTGCCAAAGGAAGAAATGATGTATGGGATATATACAGTGAAGTATATACAGTGTTTCTAAGTATGATAGCTGAAGTCTTTTTTTATATAGCAGGATTATTATACAGGGTTATTGCACAGGGTATTTACATGGATATTTATATGGATTGTGATTATCTCTTGGCCCCTTCGCCTTCTCATACTTTAGCAGTTTGATCAGCGAGTGATTCCTCCTGCTGTCATGTTGGGAGCAAGGTTTCTAACCCACATGCAGAACACACGGACTCAGAGGGAAAAAGTTCAACAGTTTATTGAACACAATGCAAATGAAGAATGTAGAATAACAGGTCCAGGGCTGGTCACGACTGGGTTCTCGGCAGAGAGGGACAGTTCGGTTAGCTGGGATCCAAGTATTGTTGCTAGTTGAATAAATGCAGGTTTGTACCTGTTCGATGATTTGAGCAGAGCGGCAGAGGGGGGAACCAGGAGGGTCCAGAGGCAGAAGGCAGGCAGAGGGCTTAGCAGAGGCAGGGCTTGACTTCAGACCTTGCAGTGTTCTGATCTGAGTTACTTTCCAGTTTTCTTCTTGAGAGCGGGCAGGCAGGTTCTGACAGTTAGACTTTCCAGGGTTCTTCTGAGATCAGACATGCTGGTTTCAACTGAGAAACTCTTCCAGAGTTCCAGGGTTCAGTCAGGTTCTTCCTAGGAAACAGAGAGGACAAAACTGGTTAGGTTCTGGTTCAGGTTTTCAGGGGAGTCAGAGAATCAGACAGGTTGGTTGGCTCAGGCTTGCTAACCGTAACTGGCTTAACACTCTGGCACTGGAGTGTTGCTCTGCCTCTGCTTAAATGCTGGTCTCCTGATGATCAAACAAGCCGCAGGTGTGGTAGTCAGCTTCAGCTCCAGGAGGCCTAGGGCGCCCTCTGCTGGAGAAAGGTGGACAGACCTCCAGATCCCAACACCTGCATCTTCTCTAACAGGTAGAGGTTGCTCTTCCAGGGATAGTTTACACTACAGCTTCCTCAGCATTATGTTCACTAAACTTCTTTGACTAGAACATTTTTGTTTTTTTCCACCACACCACATGTTTTCCACAACTCCTCCTGGAGTTGCACTGCGTAAACTGATCTAAAACTAAGAACAAATATAACATAAGACAACCTTAAAATGGAAGGCTTTCCCCTAAATAACTTTAGATATTATGCCATTTTTGCTAAATCATCTTATTTCCACTGGAAAAATATCTTACCTGTTCATATCAATGGAAAATACATATTACTAAACTCCTATCTCGGCACTAGGACCATAGATTTCTACCCTGGTGCTTTGATTTCATTCTGGTTCTTGAAAATGTTCCTGAAATGGAATAAAAACCAAAAAATTACAGCATAAATATTTGCTTTGGTTAATGTCAGAAGCTGTCATATTTGCTAAAAGGCATCTGTGAGGTTTTAGAATATTGGTTTGAAATGTTTTTTGGACACTGAAACAAAGCAGCTTTGAACTGTTTGGTAGAACCGACCCAAAGTAGTTTCAATCAGAGAAGAAACCAGGCTGTTGTCTCTACAGGAGAAGGACAACTGGAGCGGTATCGCTCGTACGGTGGACCGTCTCTGCCTCTTCCTCATCACTTCTGTGATGACCTTTGGCACCATCATCATCTTCCTCATGGGAATCTGTAACCACCCCCCACGCCTGCCCTTCCAAGGAGACCCACATGACTACAGCGAGGACAATCCTCGCCTTCTGTGACAGCGACTCGTTCTGTTTGTTCTGCTCTGTTCTTACAGATTTTATCCACTTTATCAGCTTCTTATTTTACTCATCTGTGTTTTCAGTGGTTGAAGTGATTATTTCATGTTTGGTTTAATTAAACAATCTGTTTTCTTTACTCTGTCTCGTTGATACAAAACTTATGCGAAAAGTATTTTCTAATGATTACAGTAGATATAGGGCTGCATTTAACAATTGTTTTGCTAATTGATAATCTTTGGATAATGGATTAATAATCATATAGTACAAGATTCCTTTCTAGAGAATTTAAACCAGGGGAAGCTAAAACTGCCCCATCAGGGTTTGTAGACAGAGATTATTCAGGAACAAAAAGGTTTAAATGAAATAATCTTTTTTTTACAATGTTGGTACTCCTCTCTGTGTTGCTCTTTAAGCTAATGGCATGTGTTGGGAGTCAAATTGTAATTGGAAATTGACTAATTAGTTCATTTTTTAAAATAATGATCTATTTACAATAAGTCAAATTAATTGTTTAAGCCCATATGCAAACATATTACTGTCAGAAGCTCAGAAGGTAGGACCCACAATTCAGGCAAGATCGACAGTGGATTACTTTAAAAAACATTACTTTAAAAGCATTTATTCAAACAATAACAGAGATGCTGCAGTGGCAGCGGCTGCAGTGGCTATGGTGTCAGAAGCAGGAACGTCTATTGGAGAGAAACACCAGTTAGCGTCTGTGATAATCTGACAGAGGATGACTATGAAAGCACGAGTCACTAACCTGGTTTGACAGTTCAGTCCTTACCCAGAACGCAAGGATGAATCTAGTAGGTCAACTGAACAGCCGCAGCAGAGCTGCAAGCCCAGAGCTGTGAGGAGATCCGATCTGAGCTGATGAAGGAAGACAGGATAATCCACAGGGCGAAGTCAAAAGGCAGATCTAGGTTCAGTTTACAGAAGAATTCGATAGGCTGCCAAAAACAGGCAGACAAACTAATCAGACAGGGGCAGGCAAGTTCAAAGATCCAAATAAAGACACAGATCAGGCAAAAAGAACAAAATACTAAAGCTAGAGAACTCTCAACACCAAGGGCTCAACAATAGTCTGGCACCAATGGCTGGGAATCAGGCAGCTTAAATAGGAAACTGGGACAGGTGGATCTGATGAGTGATGAGGAACAGGGCAGAGCTAGACAGGTGAATGAAATGAGTAATCAAGCCAGCCATTAGCGCCAAAATAATGACAAGTACAGGAAAATATTTTACATTTTATTTTAGATTAATGTGGTTATTTACTGTCCAAATCAAACATTAAATAGTTATCAGAATGTTTAAACCTCTTAATGCGATATTTATTGGTTTATGTTACCGTTTCATGGAACTTAGATTTCTTCAGTGCATTTAACATGATTCAGCCTTACTGACAGACTGACTCAGAAAACCCCTGATGGAGGCATCAAGAATTGCCTGGATCAAAGACCTGACAAACAGACCACAGTTTGTTACACTAAAGGGTCAGCTGTCTAATCAAATAATTAACAGCACAGGAGCACCACAGAGGACGCTACTCTCACCATTGCTTCTCTGTACACATCTGACTTCCAGTACCAGACAGAGACCTGTCACCTGCAGAAATACTGGGATGACTCTGAAGTCATTGGGTGCATCAAAGAGGGAGAAGAAGGTGAACTGCTTTGTGGCAGATTTAATTGTGCAGCTCTGATCGTCTGTTTTCAATGTTCTGCTCCTCTTCCTGTGCTCAGTTCACCAAGCAGCTTCAGTGTTCAGTTAGGCTACGTTCACACCTCAGCCTGAAGTGACCCAAATCCAATTTTTTTCCATATGCAACCTGAATCTGATATTTTCATGACAATTTAAACATCACAGATCTGATTTTTTCCAATGCGACTCAGGCCACGTGGCTATGTGGTGATATGTATGTATCACACAGGTGATCACATAAATTGGGATATGTGAACAGCAACGCAAAAAATTAATTACTTAGTTACTTCTTAGAGCTGGAAATGCATCATTAGATTTACTGAAAAAGCAACCTTTTCAATCATGCACAGAAAAACCCCAACGGTTCTCCATGTATCAATTTAAAATGTACTAATAAATACCAGCCGTGTAGATCTGGCAAGAACTGGATGGTCAATAAATCCAGATTTAATCTGGAGTAGATTTTAGTGAGATAAAGAATAACTTTTAAGGAAATTAATCTTCAACTGATGAGGATTTTTCATTTTTTACAGATAAGAAATTACAAAAGGCAAGTAATCCTGTGAGTTTTTCTACCTCATAATGTTCAAGTCTTGTTCAAGTTTTTTCCAAAGATTTTTCACTTTCTATTATTAACACCATAAGTTAAAGACAATTTGAAATCAAAAGTCACTCCTCTCAAAAAGAAAAGAAGCCAATATTAAAAAAAAAATAGCTACAACACTATTAATATCTTTCACATAAAGGCTGGGGGGAAAAAATACGATTTTTGCTCTTAAACTGAGGGCTGAGTGTCAGTTTCAGGGACCCGTCCTCCATATAGACAAACAGGGATCCAGGTGGTTAATAAAAATGTACATGATGTCATAATCAGTTTAAGCAATCTGACCCACATGCAGAGAACCACTCAGAGACCAAGGGAAAAAGTTTAACAGGTTTATTGAATGTTGATGAAACAGAAGTAGGAGCTGTAACTCAGTGGACTGGTGAACCGGAACCGGAAAGTCTGAAAGAGAAGTCACAGCGATCAGTTCAGGGACCGTAGAAAAATTGATTGAGGCTTGAATATAGCTGGAGAGAAACTCACGTTTGAGGGGGCTCTTGTTAATCCTTGAATCCAGTTTGTGGGGAATTAATCCAGAAGAGAAGGGAACTTGTTGGAGAGCGGACAGGTAGACATACGTTGGACCCAGAGGAGTAAAGGAGCGGACTGCCACTTGGTTTTCCAATGAGGACTTGAACGGATCCTGTGGAGGTTTACCCCTGCTCAGTGTTTAATCCTTCCAGAGGGGGAAGGTCGAGGTTATCCAGTTACACGGGAAAGGCTTCCTGCCGAAGAGCAAAGACAAAAACAAGATTAGACTCAGAGAAACAAAGCTTCGGTTAGACTCTGCTAATCTCAGCTTGGCTAGAGTACCCAAAACTGGAAAACATTGGTGTCAAGGTAGTGACAGCCCGCTGCTCAAATACTCCTCCGATAATGATCCAACGAGCCGCAGTTGTTCAGGGAGGCCCAACGAGGAGCAGGGCACCACCTGGTGGTGGAGAGAGAAACACAAAAACAACCCACACAAACTGGATTGCTAACACATGAAGGCTAAAACTTAATGCAGGTTTGGCCAAAGACACAGTGTTGCTGAGTCTTTTAGAACTGTAAAGTTAAAACCGGGCAAAATAGAAGAAGAGGAAACCACAGATTGTTTCAACAAAATGGATATGATTGCCAGATTTGGTAGAACAGCGCGGTTCACATGGACAATAAAACGTGACACACATCACATGCACCATTAGGTAAAACAACAGACTGAAGTAATCTGTTAAGAAGCTTGTGCAGACTGGGAGACTATTATGAACAAGCAGAGTGGCAACCGGTTTTTACTGTCAAGTTATGCCTTCAACTTGTGCAGGTTCCCCACTTAAATGGGATTGGAGCGTTTATGCATTTCTATACAGCTGGCAGTGGATAAATAAAATAAATTCCTAGTTCGGCCTGTCTTTGATCATCAGTTGTTATCTTTTTATGAACTCAACGGTCCTAGAAACAAACTTGGGTACATGGTAGTCAAACTCCCTCAGCTTGTCCTGAATATTCTTCAGATGGAAAAGTCACTGGGAGGCTATTCAAGGGGAACCAACTGGCTTAGCAGAGATCAAGAAAGTCCAGTTAGTTGACAGTCTTGAGTAAAAGCTGGTAAGAGATCTTCCTCTTACACCCTACAGCAGAGCGGATGACATTTTCTGTGTCCTTGAGAACCGATATGGGAACCACACTGTCATTGCCATTGAAATAGTGGAAGAGTTGCAAAGTATCCCGGCTGTCAAGGGTAACCAGCCAAGAAGGATAGTAGAACTAATCCAGGTCGTGGAGAAAGCCCTAAAGGACATGAGTGATCTTGGTGATACCGGCGCTATTAAAAATCTGCTTAACAACAAAGTCAATAGAGAGCCAGCTTCTGGAGATCTTTAAAAAGCAGTCGCTCGTTCAAGCAGCAGACAAAAGAAATTATGTGGCACCGGAGAGCACTCTTGACAACCTCTTGGCTTTTCTAAAAGAACAAGAAAGCATGTGTAGTGGTACATGTATGAGCAGCTGGTTTATTTGAAGGAGGAGGAGCTAAGCAGGAGAAAAAACAGAATGGAACCAAGGCTTGCCAGAACCAAGACCGTCAAAGCAAGCAGTGAGTCTACAGGCTGCATGGTCTGCAGTGATACAAAGCACAGAAAGAGACTTTAGTTTTGTAAGCAGTTCCATCGATCCGGCTTCAGACACAAACTACATAACCCACAAAGCTGTAAATAGACTGAGCCTCAGAAGTGAGGATATTTCACTTGTCGTCCATGGTGTTGGAGGAATGAAGGTTTATGTTGAAACAAAGCGTTACCTCCTGAAGATTAAGGTTAAAACAGCCAAAGCTGCCTTGAAGCCAAATGGTTTGTTATGGCCTTGACAACATTGCAGATATTGAGAAGGATGTGATGGCAAAGCAGCTCCAAGCTTTCTCATCAGTTACTGAGAAGGTCAACCGACTCTTCAAAGAATCAAAGTTATGGGAGACCTTGTGTTGTGGGATGGGTCTATTGGAAGAGTAGTCAGAGGAACTCATCCAGAACTTTTTGAAGAGATTACAATGTCAGCTCGTATGACCAAGATGCATTTTGCAAGGTCAATGAGGGCCGCTGCAGTGAAAAACAAAATAAAAATTTAAAAAACTCACACTTTAAAATAAGGGTGTATCTTTGTGATGAAACTTGGTGGGGACGCTCTAAAGATAGTGGCTGATGGACCCGCAGCGCTCAACCTGAACACTTTCAAAAGGTTTATATTTTCCAAAAATGAGCTAAAACATATATTTATTGAATTCTTTCCTGTTATTGAGAACACAAGAGTACCACAATACACTGATATTTATAGACAGATGCCTGCCTTTAGTGTATTATTTATAAAGGGCTCAAAAACATTAATGTAAAAAAGAAAATGACGAATAACAGCCAATACCCAATGCCAACATTAATATATCATGCATCCCTACTATGGAAACAACTTCACTTCCATCCATCCATCCATCCATCCATCCATCCATCCATCCATCCATCCATGCCTGGCTTCCCTTTAAACTGCATCAGTGATTATCCTCCTTCACAAGCAGCAAAATCAAATTTAGAAAATTTGTCCCATATGTCATTAACAGCCAAAGTTATGCATGTCTGTGAGTCTGACTCTCTCTGGATTTGCTGACACAGCTATTTCTGAGTCTTGCTGAACTACCAAAGGCAAAAAGATATGTTGAATTTTAGTATAACGCCCAGTAAGAAAATTCCTAACTTTTAAACTAACTTCAAAGATGAAGTAAAAAAAAAAAAAAAGAAATACCAAAAGTTAATCAGAATCCCTGGAAGGGTTGGAATGTTGTATAAATAAAGGATTATTTCCCTCAACCTGACATCTGAAGGCTGAGATTATTTCCTGGTTAATAATGAACAGCAGCTCATGGCCCCTCTTCATCCATCCCCCTTTAAGACATTTCTCTTTCTTTCTAGATCGTTTTTCACTGTAAAAGCCTGTTTTTGAAAATGGATCGTATGCATATATTATATGCTATTATATCATTTGCAATGGGATGCAAAGTGACATTTTTTAATTTAGTCTAGTAAAATGAATCAATAATTAAATAGGAAATGCGGGGTAACATGAATGGAGCGAGGTGTAAATTGTTTTCATAGTTGTATTTAGGTATTTTATATCTAAATCATTTGAAGTTTTTAAATTTCCTTGAAATGTCTGAATGTCAGAGTTTTAGAACTGTATTAAGAGATTAGTCTAAAGTCAAACATTTGATTCATGTTAAGATCCAAAATTACTAGAAAATGCTTTCAAAGTATAACTCTGTACCTGTGCAGGAAATGCAACCTCAGCTGTTTGCATGAAGCAATCTGATTTTTTTATGGCCATAGTTTCGTCACCACTAAGGAAGTAACCCCCCCACCATGAACACACATGACCTCATTTGACCTTAGATCTCATTTAAATGAGTTACTATTTTTAAACATGTTTAGCTGGTCATGGTCTAAATATAGATCCCTGATGGGAGGAGACTGTATATTTGCTCACAGTAGTAAATACCTGACCTGCTTTCCATTTACCAACATGTCACTTTACTAATGATGCATAAAAGGAAATGTTCCCACACTTTTTTTTGTGTGTTTTGTCATCGTTTGGTTCCATTCAGAGCGAGTTGCTGGTCCGGTCCATGGATCAGTCCAGGGATCTGTAAAAGTACCAAACTGTATTATCCCAAACAGAGTAGCTGCTCTGCAGCACAGTAGCAATGAAAACAAGATCAGCCTCACATTGTACCAACACATGAAAGCTTTTCCTGGAATGTTAAAAGATCATGAAGACATTTTCTGATTTGATTTTACACACAGATCTTTAGACTGGACCAAACGCCATGCAGTTACAACTGATTATCTCTGGGTTAGAATTGCAATAATGTTCTGCAGTCGCCATCATAGATGAGATTTATAAGATTTCTAAAATGTAATTTCTATTAAAATGGTGGAACTTGCTGAGTTAAGTGTGTTGTTATCTGTTCCTCTAGTAGATTCAGGTTTAAAGTTAATATTTAACTTAATCTTCTGACGAGTGGTTATATGAACGGCCCAGTCAGAAAATTCCCAAACTTTAATCCGATGAGGGAAACTTAGAAGGTGCAAAGCTATCAAGGTGATGCCAACATGTGATGGAATGTTGAATAAATAAAGGAATATTTCTCCTCAACCTGACACCTGAAGGCTGAGATTATTTCCTGGTTAATAATGAACAGCAGCTCATGGCCCCTCTTCATCCATCCCCCTGGGAAGTCCCATATCATTGCTTCATGGCCTGTATTTAAGGAGGGAGCTCAGCACATGCTGTAGCAGTCAGTGAGCTCCTTCAAACCTGCCACACCTCTTCAGCTTCTCTCCAGTCAAAGTGAGAACACCGGTCGAGTGAGAATGGCAAACAGACAAGCATGCCTCTCTGCAGCTCTCAGCTCCCTCCTCATTGTTGCCAGCTTCATCTGCGGCTCTGAGTCCGGTAAGGGAGAGAGATCTGGAACATCTCTAATGTGTCTGTGTTGAAGTCAGGGTTGAAGTGTTGTTTTTAGGTGGGATGTAAAGATGTGGATCATTGACAGATGTTTTGTGCTTGTTCACAGCGAGCTGCTGCATGAGATACACCAGGGGGAAGATCCCCTGCAAGGCGCTGACGGGCTACAACATTCAGACCATCAATGGCTCCTGTGACATCAGTGCCATCATGTGAGTCAGGAATCAAATAGTAGAAATCCATGAACCTTTCAGTGCTGCAGCTCTGTTAAAGACAGAAACTAGGCAACAGCTGCTTTTCTCTGCAGTTAAGGTGCTATATAAGTACAGACCATTTACCATTTTAAACACACTGCAGCAAACAGAGCAGGTTAGAGAAGCCGTCCTTAAAGATAAAACAGCTTCTAATGAAAGGTAATTACTGACCAAATCTAATGGGTGATGAGTTAAAGCTGGTTAAACATCCAGCAGAGACACTGAGCAGGTTTTCCACAGCAGCTGTAGGTAGTGACGGCTCATTCATGTGCTTGTTCCTCTCTGTGTTCCAGCTTCCACCTCGGCGGCAGGTTCGTGTGTGCTGACCCTTTGAAAGCTTGGACCTTGAGAGCAATGAAGTGTGTAGAGTAAGTCAATGAAACATTCCTTCTCTGGGTGTCATTTTCTGCTCTTTTGCATCCAGTTATTGATCAAAGCTCTGCTGATCTTTGCAGTGAAAAGAGGAGGAAGGTTGAACGGATCCTGGAAGAGAGAAACTAAGAAACTAAGCTCTACAGCCTGGAGCTAAAACTGCTGAAGAAAATGAGAGAAATTGTTTTTAAGCTTCTCTTTATGTTTCCCTGAAGGGTAATGCTGATTAAAGGGAAGATTGTTTATCTGGGAACTTTTATCTCCTCTGTTTTATAAACAGGAATGTTTGGTATTTAATACCCCAAGTAAAGCTTTAAAATGCTGTTTAATAACCTGTTGGAGGTTCATGTTTTCTGTGTAGTTTTGCTCTGTGCAAAAAGAGAATCTTCTAAACATTTAATATTAAATGTGTCTAAAATAACTTTACTATTAAAGCGTTTTATGTGTTTATGAGCACATCATCAACATGATTACATTTTCAATTCTTATTTTTCAGTTTAATTTTTCACGTGACTAAGAAAAGATAACGGGATTGGTTGGGTGTTGGACGCCACAATCCATTGCTAATGTCTGTGACCTGAAGTAACCCTTCCCTTTTTACACTGAATTTAGACGCCGAACTTAAGACAGTGAAATAGAGCCAGTTGAATCTCAGGTGGCTGAAAATAGTGAGTTTGAATTTTTTTTATATGCAGATTTTTTTTTAACACTCAAAAATTAAACTGAAAAATAAGTATTGAAAATGTAATCACTTTGAAATAGTATTGTGAATTTTTAGCTTGAAGAGAAAATAAATGAAATTTCAGCTGTGTAGAAATAATGACAATAAATTTTTTCTAGGTCAAAAATGTGTTCTGAATATATTTTAACACTGAAACAGTAAGTACAAACATACAACATTTAAATTTCAGTGGCATTTTTAATTCAAATCCCAGCGACACAGATTTACTTCCATATACGTCACATTAGAATGCTTAAATTAGGACCAGCCCACCGGGTATCACAGATTACCAGTCTAAGCCTGGCACTTCATTAAGATTTTTTTACTCAAGTAAAAGTAGAAAGTAGTGATCCAAGATATAAATCAAGTACTTGGTTAAATGGCTACCTATATAGTGAGGTAACTTTTTAACCAGTACATTTGATAACAGATGTACTGGTTAAATGGCATCTTAACATCTGATTTCATGTTTATAATCATGTGATCAAGCAGCCAGTTATGTGCAAATTTGGATATTTACAGGTATAAAATAAGATTTAAATACATAAATAAATGAATAGCATGATTGCAAAGTAAACTTTTTTCAACATAAAGTTATAAAACCAATCTTTTCAGAAGGCAATAAACACTTTTTTTTATGTATATACTTACTGAATGCTGACCTGAACTCCAATAGCTCCATTTACTCACAGTGAGTAAATAAGAGCAGCAATGCTCTCATAAGAATATCCCTTGGGTAAAAAGTAAAGAACAGTACAAGTACTCCTAAAAGTAAATATCTTTGTAAGGTACTCAAGTCAATGTAATTAGTTACTATGCAGCTGTGCAGATGTCTTATGCTGACATGGAGATACAGTAGTTTATTTAAAGCTCTAAATCCCCAAATGATGGTGACACCATTTCTGCTGCCCACAGACTGGTTCTGCAGGTCAAACTGTTCATTCAGCCCATTGGCCTGACCAGACAAGCTGAGGGGAAAATGATCCCTGTCAGACAAAATGCTGATAGATGTTCCACATCTCTGTCTGCTGCTGGTTCCTGCATGTAAATCTGTTTTGTTGTTGATGGAAATGTAACGACTCCCTCTGGTGTTGTGCTACTTGTTAGCATTCATTAGCATGCAGCAGTTTAATCATCTTGTTTGTCTCTGAAAGGCCTCATGAATAAAGAAGATTTATCAAAGCTCCTTACAGACGCTCACTAACTGACAGGAGTTTTTACATTGTTGGGTTTCTTTTAGAGTTTGTGAGACACAAAGAAGCCGAATCTTTAAGAAAAACAGAAAAAGCACCAGTTGTTGGACCGGTGTGATCCCTGGTTGGTCTTATAAAGCATTTTGTGAAGTTTATGTCAACGAGCAGAAGGTTTAAGTCTCCCAAAGTCTGTTTTTCAGGTGAATTTATTTAAAATACTTAATGACAGACTGCACTGGTCTTTTGATTCATGAAGACCTCACATTTCCTAATATAAATCAGAGGAATTGATATTTTAATTGATGGCTTTGTTCATGTTGCAGGTTAAAATGTCTGGACTCTTTGAATAATATTGATCTAGTTATTTTATATGTCTTTCTGTTATCTTAGTAAATTCTTTGTTTACATAATTCCTCTGCAAGTGCCTCAGTGCTCAGTGCTTGGATGAAATCTCTTCGCATTTCTGCTTTACTAGTTTGTCAGAGAGGCTGGTTGTGCTTCTGTGGTGCAGTGGTTAGCTTGCACGACTCATCTGCAGAGGCCTTAGTCCTTACGGATCCCAAACCCAGGTTCAAATCCAACCTGTGGTCTTTTGCTGTCCTCTTTCATATCCCCTTTCCTGTCAGCCTACTGTCAAAAAAACTAATCCTGTAAAAACTCAAATAAAAGATAGACCTACAGGTGCTGGTCATAAAATTAGAATATCATGAAAAAGTAGATTGATTTCAGTAATTCCATTTAAAAAGTGAAACTTGTATATTATATTCATACATTACATACAAACTCATATATTTCAGATGTTTATTTTGTTTAATTTTGATGATTACAAATGACAACAAATGAAAATCTCAAATTCATCATATCAGAAAATTAGAATATTACTGAAGACCAATAAAAACAAAGGATTTATAGAAATGTTGGCCAACTGAAAAGTATGAACATGAAAAGTATGAGCATGTACAGCACTCAGTATTTAGTTGGGCCTCCTTTGGCCTGTATTACTGCAGCAATGCGGCGTGGCATGGAGTCGATCAGTCTGTGGCACTGCTCAGGTGTTATGATAGCCCAGGTTGCTCTAATAGTGGCTTTTAGCTCTTCTGAATTATTGGGTCTGGTGTATTGCATCTTCTTCTTCACAATACCCCATAGATTAAGAACAGGGATACCATGGTCCTTCAACCAGGTACTGGTAGCTTTGGCACTGTGTGCAGGTGCCAAGTCCTGTTGGAAAATGAAATCTGCATCTCCAAAAAGTTGGTCAGCTGCAGGAAGCATGAAGTGCTCTAAAACTTCCTGGTATGTGGCTGCGTTGACCCTGGACCTCAGAAAACACAATGGACCAACACCAGCAGATGACATGGCACCCCAAACCATCACTGACTGTGGAAACTTTACACTGGACTTCAAGCAACGTGGATGAAGTGCCTCTCTTCTTTTCCTCCAGACTCTGGGACCTTGATTTCCAAAGGAAATGCAAAATTTACTTTCATCAGAGAACATGACTTTGGACCACTCACCAGCAGTCCAGTCCTGTTTCTCTTTAGCCCAGGCAAGACGCTTCTGACGCTGTCTGTGGTTCAAGAGTGGCTTGACACAAGGAATGCGACAGCAGAAACCCATGTCTTTCATACGTCTGTGTGTGGTGGTTCTTGAAGCACTCACTCCAGCTGCAGTCCACTCTTTGTGAATCTCCCCCACATTTTTGAATGGGTTTTGTTTCACAATCCTCTCCAGGGTGCGGTTATCTCTCTTGCTTGTACACTTTTTTCGACCACATCTTTTCCTTCCCTTCGCCTCTCTATTAATGTGCTTGGACACTGAGCTCTGTGAACAGCCAGCCTCTTTAGCGATGACCTTTTGTGTCTTGCCCTCCTTGTGCAAGGTGTCGATGGTCGTCTTTTGGACAACTGTCAAGTCAGCAGTCTTCCCCATGATTGTGTAGCCTATAAAACTAGACTGAAAGACCATTTAAAGGCTTTTGCAGGTGGTTTGAGTTAATTAGCTGATTAGAGTGTGGCACCAGGGGCCATCAATTTTGAACCTTTTCACAATATTCTAATTTTCTGATATGATGAATTTGAGATTTTCATTTGTTGTCATTTGTAATCATCAAAATTAAACAAAATAAACATCTGAAATATATGAGTTTGTATGTAATGTATGAATATAATATACAAGTTTCACTTTTTAAATGGAATTACTGAAATCAATCTACTTTTTCATGATATTCTAATTTTATGACCAGCACCTGTAAGTATTGCTATAATGATGATACCTATATTAAAATATAAATCCTAATTAACCCAGTCAGGTCTTACATACTGTAAGTGTAATTGGAAAATGTCTTTTAAAAGGGCTTTTTATTTGACTCCTGAACCCTGTTTTTCTTAATTTACTTTGGGTCAGAAGTTCCAACAATGTTTGGCGGATGTGACTTCAAGTGTGTCCATATTTAATAGGTCGGACCTACAAACAATCAAAGGGTTAAATTCAAGGTGGATTTTGTGGATACTCAGAATAGATGGACATCCAACATAACTCTATTTTATCAGGTCATCCTAAAAGCTATCTGAAAGTACTATAACCTTTACAACTATAGAAGTCTAATATTTTGGACTCTGATGTTAAGGAAGTCTGTAATCTGGTTAATTTGATGTACTGTGGTAATCTTTCCTCTCTAGAGTAATAGTATCTCAATCCCTCACATCTTCAAACTTTCGTTTGAAGCTTTTTTGTGTAAATTGATTTAGTAATTAATCAGTTTTCTCTTTCTTTGTGATTTTCCTTCATCAAAGGAATTAAATAATCATATTTCTGCAAACAAACACAAGTTTCAGAAGTTTTTTTGTTCTTTTGTTTTGAACAGTTTATGCATCATAAATGTATAATTTTCAGTCTGACAGCACAGCGCTTAGATCCTTGTGACTGACAGAAAATCAAATCTACTGATGTTTGATTGATCGCTGAGATGAAAGAGACCCAAAAAGTTTGGTGCATATTTAAATGTATTTAAATCTGTTCCTTCTTTTCAATCTTTCTGCCCAGAAAACGCACAGATTGAGTTATTAATACATCAAAAAGCTCTAAAGTCTTTTTGGCATCTCAACAGTTTTTAATAGAATGGAGGACGCTAACATAAGATGCTGATTTTTGATAAACTGCTATTTTTTTTCTGTATGTTTTTTGCTTATTTAGTCAAACTTTAAATAAAAAGTTCCTGAAAATCTACAAGGAATTGAGTTTATGTTAAATCCAGATTTTCAGATTGATTTTAATGTTAAAATCGACCAAATTTGAAGGAGACCCAGGTGTGTAAAAGTGCTCAGAGTGATCCAAACAATCAATTCTCTGTAAATCAACTGCTTTTTTCTTTTAAAAAATAACAAACAAAATTAAATAAAAAAACTATTTAAATAAAACATAAATTTTTCACTTATTTTGATCAATTCTGTCTTTATATATACCTATATATTATTGATGTATTTTATTTTAAATAGCTGTTTGTCTGAAATGCTCAAATTTAATGATTAAAACAAGTATATATATTGTCAATGTTCAAATAATTTATCTTTAATCTTATTATATTTAGATGCAAAGATAGAATTGAAATAAAAACATGCTTAGAAAAATTAAAAATGTGAACATTTTCTACAGACAGATAAACAACAAAAGGATTTCAGTCTGAACATACTGGACCAAAGAGAAGTTTATCTTTTATCTCTTTAATTTTCCTTCCCAGTTAAAATATCTGCTAATTGATTTCAGAGAAGCTTGGAAAGACTTTATTTTTTAATGTATGGTGTATCTTTTCACATTAGTGGTGCTTAATATGGCTGAGATGGGAATAATCAGAATTATAGTATTCTGTTTTATTTTTAAAATTCATTAAAATGCAGAATTTTCTCCTCTCTTCAGGATTTCTAAAAATAATTTATTTCCTTTAAAGTGTTTTTACATTTTTTTTTCTGATTCATTGAGAATTTATTTATTTTAAACAAAAAAAACAACAGTAATAATTACTTTATGACACCTCTGAAGACATAGTGGGCTTTGACACAAGCTCAGTGAAACAAAAGTCTGTTTTTTCTTACAGGTTTTGAAGAAGTGGAGCATTTAGCAGGAAACTGCGGGATATTTCCCTTTTGCAATGTCTTGCCTCCATATTACCCATGGGCCAATTAGAAAGGAGACAGACTTCTACAAGCTCTCTGATTGGATGAGAGTAAAGGACAGACCTTTGGAAACAGGAGAAAGAGAACAAATATGGATTATGGTGTTGAATTCTGTCATTCATCAAAAGCAGGGAAGGAAATCAGAAAATCAACTATTTGAAGTTCCTTTGGTTGTTCTTCTTCTAACTTTCCCCTGGAAGTTGGAATCGTCTGTTTCTGCATTTGGACCAGGGAGGACAGAGATCTTCTCTGGAGGAAGATCTCAGATTAAAAGTTTCTTTAACTATTGATAGGGAGCTGCATATTTCTGAATGCTTCTCCTTCTCTCTCCTCTCTCTGAATATTGGGACACACCTGAGATGAGAATCTGCAGTTGGCTCTGGGGAACCACCTTCAGCGTGATGCTCCTCATCCTTCCTGGAACAGCTCAGTACGAGGATGGGAGTTTGGTTCCAGGGCGAGGCTCCTGCCAGCCCATCTCCATCCCCTTCTGCACAGACATCGCCTACAACCAGACCATCATGCCCAACCTGCTGGGTCACTCCAACCAGGAAGAAGCCGGCCTGGAGGTCCACCAGTTTTACCCACTGGTCCAAATCCAGTGCTCTGCAGAGCTGCAGTTCTTCCTGTGCACCATGTATGCCCCGGTGTGTACAGTGCTGGAGCGGGCCATCCCGCCCTGCAGGTCTCTATGTGAGCAGGCTCGGCAGGGCTGTGAGGAGCTCATGAACAAGTTTGGCTTCCAGTGGCCCGACAGGCTGCGCTGCCAGAACTTCCCTCTCCATGGAGCTGGAGAGATCTGTGTGGGTCAGAACACGAGTGATGCTGAAGGCTCTGCCTCCGAGCTTATCCCGGCCACAGTCCCTCCCCTTATATGGAGCGACCGTCCATTCTCCTGCCCCGTGCAGCTTCAGGTGCCCCCCTACCTCGGGTACTACTTCCTTGGGGCCAAGAACTGTGGTGCCCCCTGTGAGCCGTCCAAACCAGGTGGACTAATGTACTTCAGTGAGCAGCAGGTAAAGTTCAGCCGGCTCTGGGTTGGAACCTGGTCCATTTTGTGCTGCCTCAGCACTCTCTTCACCACACTGACCTATTTACTGGACAGAGGGAGGTTCCTCTACCCAGAAAGACCCATCATCTTCCTGTCTGGCTGCTACTTCATGGTAGGAATGGCCTACAGCGCCGGCTTCCTGCTGGGGGACAAGGCGGTGTGTGTGGACAGGTTGAAGAAGGACGGCTACAGGATGGTGGTCCAAGGTACGGAGCAGGACGTCTGCACTCTGCTCTTCATTGTCGCCTATTTCTTCAGCATGTCCAGCTCCATGTGGTGGCTCATCCTGTCCTTCAGCTGGTTCCTATCTGCTGGGATGAAGTGGGGCCATGAGGCCATCGAAGCCAACTCTCATTACTTTCACCTGGCAGCCTGGGTGCTTCCAGCGCTGAAGAGAGAGCTCTGATCAACCAGGATAAGGTGGGAAGGAGGTGCAGCAATAGGAGACAACTCAATCTGCATCTTCACAAGCCAAACAAACTAACATACAGAAACTGAACAAGCTAAATTAGGACAGTACTGAGGTTTAGAGTTCTGTCTGGGTTTCTCACCAGAAATGCTTTGAGAGGAAACCTTCCAACTCTGATGATACTCATTTAAATCAGGTCAAAAACTTTGGAGTCATTTGAATCAAATTTAACCTGTAAGCCGAATATCCTTACGGGAACAAAATTTGTTTTATTATATATTATCTACATAATACTTGATTAATAAACTAATTAAACCTGTTTCTGTGTAGTTTGTTTAGGTACTTTTGTGTGAAACATTATTGTAAGTTGTAAAAACAAATTTTCTGCTCAACCTGGTTGCTTACAAACAAGTGTCCATAAACACACACTAATATAAAAATATTATGAAAAAGAAAAATGCATTTACAAACAGCTACAATCTAAACTCTGCTTGATGCACAAGGACGCGCACCGGAGCGAGGTGCAGGGACGCGCACCGGAGCGAGGTGCAGGGACGCGCACCGGAGCGAGGTGCAGGGACGCGCACCGGAGCGAGGTGCAGAGACGCCGCTGGAGCGAGGTGCAGAGACGCACACCGGAGCGAGGTGCAGAGATGCACACCGGAGCGAGGTGCAGAGACGCGCACCGGAGCGAGGTGCAGAGACGCGCACCGGAGCCAGGTGCAGGGACGCGCACCGGAGCCAGGTGCAGAGACGCACGCCGGAGCGGGTTGCAGAGAGGCCCGTCATGGAGCGAGGCGCAGAGGCACGCTGGCGAGAGGCGCGTGTTGGAGGTGACCTCGCAGGCCAGCTACGCTGGAGAGGCCCACACGCGCAGCGTGCCGGAACGAGGATCCAGCGCTGGGGTGGACGGTGTCCTCCATTATACCCGCCAAGTGCCGTCTTTTAACAGACTGGGCCATTGACTCTGCTGCTCTTCACCATCTATATTTTTATCTTTCTTTTTATCTTTTTTTTATTGGATTTTAATCGATTTTAACGTATCTTTTTATCTTTTTTATTGGATTTTAATCGATTAAACTTTTTAAAGCCCTGCTCACAATCGCCGCAGTCTGTTTGGTTTTTATGGTTTTATTTAAAGCTACAGTGTGTAATAATTACAGGGATATAAAGTCAGAAATGTAATATATTATACATAACTATGTTATTTATCATCACCTATGAGCTCAGCCTTTTAACCATAATATTTGCGTTGCCTTAGAATTCGTTATTTATAATTACATAGGAGCGGGTCTTGCAGCCATGGAGGCTGACATCTTTGCTCTACGGCAAGCGCAGAGGCAACAAACTAGCGATTGCGAGATCGCCCATTACGCTCGAAAATAACTACGGCAAGTTGAGAGAGATTAACTGAGACGGTACTGAACAGTAGATGGCAGTATTATGCCTGAGAAGCGTTTAGTCTGCCTGAAACCAAAGAAGAAGAAGAAGCAGGTATACTGCGCCTCAGTAACAAGAAAGGTGAACAAGGCGGCAGGCGTGAGTGACTTTGCAAACTGTTTGGCACTGTGTGGCCAAACATCAGATGAATGGAGGATCATGCCTACTCTGTATCACAACGAAAAGCGGCGGACACCGAACCCCCGTCATCTAAGAAGCGGAAACACGACGAGAATAAACGCAAGCGTGACAAGAAACGCCAAAAAAGACGGATCAACATTGGCACGGCATTTACACGATGGAAGTCACTGATGGAGGAAAAAGGTTTTCAAAGTGACGCTCAAGTTGCCAGTTTTCTTTTGGACAGGTAATTAATCCTACACACACAATTGTCTAATATCACTGCAGTTTTTAGAGTACAGGATGCTCAGACCTGTCTAAAACAATAACATGCTGCGTGATGATGCTGTTACTCTCTAGTATACTTATTCAGCAACGTCCCTGACGTTTCACAGGTAATGATTCAGTAATTTTCTGTAAAATAATTTTCTGGCTATATACCTCGGTTACTTCTCTCCGGCTCCTTTGGAGATCTTCAAGCCTTTCTTCCTCTGCTCTAGTCACCCCGCTGGCACCCCTCCCTCGCCTGGCCCTAGCTGCACGGCCTCCCTGCCCTCTCCCTCTTCCTCTCCCTCTTCCTCGCCTTGTAACCCCCGTGCCACAAACATGACTTGGACTCTGTCAACGGGGAATATATATTCTTCCAGCGAACACAATCTCGCTGTTAAACTAATGACTACAATTACTTCGTCTGTTTATATCACTATGCAAAGCAGCTCACCAAAACGTCACAACGATGTAGAAAAAATAACGGGTATATTTATTATCTTAAGTCTACATAAAATCTATACCCTACACAGACTAATGAAATACTATCTGTAAAATTATCTATGTAAACAAACCTCATCACTTGAGAAGGTAGGTGATGCGGACGTCGTGGAAGACATTTTGTCCCGTAACGCTCGCTGTACTGTTGGGGGGGAGAAGCGGTGGGGGGGAGACGTTCATGTTGCTGCAGTCTGCAGTCTGGACGTTAGATGTCGCTGAAAATTACACACTGTAGCTTTAAGAGGATCGCGCCTCTCGGGTGCCACATTGGAGGGGATTTTGCTGCCGTTCGGCTGGCAGCTGACTGGGAAGGACCATTTTGAATGGCTGGTACTGTATCTATAAAAGACAGCGTAACTATGGGATGCAGGGGTTTGGTGGCAGTTAATGTTGAGCAATAGGGATGTACAGTGTGCAAAACTTGACCAATAAGCTGTAAGCTATTTTAAACACAATTATCTACACAATTATCAACTATGCTTTGTTCATGCTTACAAGAAGGAGTCCAAGACATTGAAAACGTTGCATTGGGCAGATTGGTCCACAGTTTTCATGATGTCATCGCAAACAGTTCCAATTGAGGAGTGATGAATTACAGAAAAACCAGCAACGACTCTTCATCCAGTGTTTGGTTATGATTTAATTCAGACTGCACAAACAGAGCAGGCTGTTTACAGATGGGTCAATTGTGAATGTGGAGCCGTCCTCTGGTCTCAGACTTCCTCTGAAGGAGCATTTTGGAGGAGTTGAGTGAATAGTGAGCTAACGTGGCACTTTATAGTCAAGTGAAATAGTGAAATAAAACATTCAATAGGAAATGTAATGTAATATGACACAAACCCAACAAACATCTAATAAACATTATCATGAAATATTTCTTCATTTCTGGAAACAGATTCGGAATCGTAGAACTGTGTCGTCATTAGAATTATGATAGAGTAGAATTAAATTATACTTTACCACCAAAATATTCTTATTAAACTTCATCCCGTTGGAGCAGCTTAAGGTTTGTCAATAAAATAAAAACAAAGATTCCTTTAAGGTACAGAGCAACTCATTTGTATCCACAAATTAATTATTGCAGAGTAATTTCAAATATAAGTTTTCTTTTATTTTTTAAGGGATTTCTTTGTACTATGTTTACCAAAACATTAATATTGATACAATGATTATGTGTTACACTATGTAAAAACAATGTAGGTGTAGAGTTTAAGGTCAAGTCACTTTTTTTTTCTGAAAAAGAAAGTAATTATTAGAGTAGCCTTAGCCTTAGCCTTAGTCCGTCTACAGTAGTGCAGTAGTTTTACTGCACCATAACTTTATATTTGCTTAAATAAAAATACCAGAAAGAGCTACTAGTTTACAGACAAAGTTTCAGGGGAATCTCACTGTGATAACATGCTTGTTTTAACCTTTCTTTTTCTTTGAACCTTTCAACATTTCTCCATCCTTAAGGTTTGCACAAACAAAAAGGCAAGTTTGAATCAATAGTGGAGTAATCATAAACAAGCTTAACTTTTCAGATGTTTTTTATACACACAAATCCTGTCTAGACTCGTATAGATGAAAATAAAATAAAATTAAATTAAAATAAAGTAAATACATGAATTTCTCCCTCCATCAAGGTGTTGCAGAACTGGTGCCTATCTTCAGAAGTCTAGGAGCAAACGGCAGGATGCACCCTGGACAGGACGGCAGTGTAAAAATGAGATGTAATTAGTAATAAAACAATTAATTACTATATATAAATAAATACTATTTTTTCTATCAAATAATTACACCAATTATTAATAATCATAATATTCCACTTTATTTTTTTAACTCTTGAATGTTAAATGTATTTATATCTTTGTGTTTTATTTTTCACTCTCATTTTTTCTGCCTGTCCTTTTTTCCATTTCTGTTTGCATTTCTACTAATGAGGAGGGGACGGCTTTAAGGCGACACTTTCTGCCTATCCATTGGTTAGAATGCACAGACTCTACATACTTTCACACCGTCTAAACTCCAAACAAACATGGCTACCTTCCATGAGGTTAACAATAAACTGAAGTATTATATAACTTTATTTGAAAACAGAGGACATGTGGACACTCTGACTAAACACGCGTTTCAGATTGCTGCATGCGTTAACACTTGACCTTTATCTCTGCTCATTCCCAACAGAAACTGCAGGCCCTGCATCAGGACACACTTTGCAAAAGGGTTGAATCAATTCTCCCCTCTAATTTCCATTCATCCTAAAGTTAAAATAAGGATGCTATTTATTAAAGGTGCACAACTGTCTTAAAACGTCACCTGTTTGTTCTGGCTGAATTCTGGGTCCTTATTCTCTGAACGTTAAAAAAAAGCCGCACCTCAGATCATGAATGCAAAGCTTTTAACTGTTTTAAGTCCACACTGCAAAGCAAAGAGGAGCTGATCCGTGTTCATTGGTATTCTTTTTGTATTGTGCATCAGTACTAACACCAAAGTGGAAAAATAAAATGTCTACAGCTGCTAAAAGATGTCAAATCTACACCACTGGAACAGTTATGTCTCTTTTCTTTCATTTTTCATGTGCTTGAAGCCAATAAAAAGTATTAAATATTAAAAATCAGGTCAGTTTGTTCCCATGCTGACCTTTTGGTTTGAAAGTAAAATAAAAATAGTTTGCAGACATTACCTTT